TCACCGATAGTGCTATATCTGAGACATTCTCAAATAAAATTATCAAGAAATGAAAGAGTTAACATTCTTATTATGAAATAAGAGTGTTAAATTAGCTAATATTTCAGTGATAGAGCTATTCATATTTCTTTGGAGAAAATTTGGGAAAATCATTTTAAGCTATGGAATAAATCTAAAATTTTTAAGGAATTGATTTAGAAACTCACATCTAATTTCACCAGAAAATGGAGAAATTCTTTTATAAAATGATAAAAAGAGATCTCATATAGAGGTTCATGTGAAAACGGAACAATGTGCTCAAAATTCCGTCAAAATTGTGATTTGGAATGCATAATTCTATTCAAATAGACTGGAATTCCAGACCACATTATAACTTCGCTGTGGGTCAATTCTGCTAAGCGACGTCATAATATTGTTTGAGCCACACTCTCTCTAATGCATGCAGTAGTATTCCATACCACCAACTATTGATAACAAAAAAAGTTGTTTCATGCTGCTTGCTTTGTTTTGTAAATGACAGGAGTATCATGATAATATTGGTGACCTGGACGGGCCAGAAGAGAAGGAGCGTGCACAGGCAAGAATCCAGAAGTTTATATCGGCTTTTTGATGATTGTATGACTTTCTCGATTTATATGGCAAGGGAAACTTCACATTGTGAAATTGGTAATTTAACCATCGATGCTGTCCCCATTGTTCCATGTTTGATTAAGCTTGTCTAGATATCTGAATGATTCTGTCATGAGAAACTAAACTAGCAAAAGTGAAGAGAAAAAACCATGAAGCTAATGAAAGAGGTAGAGGGTGAGGGTGAGGGTCTTTGCCAAATCTTCATAAAATTTGGTATGGATTGCGAGACATGCACAATCAACAAGTATGAATAAAATATAAACAGTAATTAAGGAAATAAGGGAGATGTATAAATATGATCAAATGCTTTTAACTTCTAAAGCATATGAAAAAGAAAAGCAAATATTTTCCAATATATATTGTTTCATAAAAATACTGTGTGTATTATGCCAAGTCTCTTCCCTTTCTCTGTTTCAATCCCTCAGTTATACTTCCCTTTTTATTGAACATGGAATATCATCTGACCTGAAAATATAATCAGTTTGGTTATTATCATTATTATGAAAACTAGTAAAGTATACTCACTCGAACTTATTATCTCATTGGAATAAGACGATGACTAATCTTTTAGTCATAAACAGCATATAAACAAAAATGAATATTTATGATTTTAAAGCTTCTGTAGTGTTTTTTTTTTAATTTCATTTTGAGCAATGTATTCATGTTTTGTTCATAATTAAACAAGGTGGAGGCTGTCAAATATATTAAGATGAATTAATGAAGTCTGAGTTAGAGGTATACTTCTTCGATGAACTTGCATTTCCAGCGATTTATCTTGTCGCTGTATGATTTCTGAAATGTTATCAAGGTGCTGTGCGAGCTTTGGAATGTCAGATGAAGGCAGAACCTCACAAACTTTTAGAACTTGGATATGGCATGAGGTTTCCTCATGAATTTCAAATGTCCAAAACAGACTTCGAATTTCAAAACCTGATTTTTGCCAGCCACCCAAAAGCTTGTCGGGCAGACTGACGATTCTTGTATGCATCTGGGTCCTTAATCCTCGTTGAAGACTTTTGGAAATCCTTGCTGAAGGGCTGAAAAAACGGAGTTTAAAATTTTCCACTTTCAATTCGAAGGTAAAGATAATGAAGGCATAAAAATTTTGGAAATTTGCGTAGAATAATTGCAGCCTGTAATGATTATACAAATAATCATACACACATATATATATATGTAATAATAGAGAAATAAAAGAGAAATCAAAAAACCAGAAAATGTTCCAAAAGATCTTCTGCTTTTCTCCACTAGAATCCCCTGCATCTCCTTCCTCTGAAATTGTACTTGGAAGATCCTCTGAAATTTTTGTCCCTTAAGCTGAGAAACTGAAATGATTTGGATAATGGACCATCTTCGAAAAATACGTTCTCACTAGAAGATCCTGCGTGATACACTGGCCATCTCTTTGGAACAACATAGTTCCTGCCAGAAACTTTATGGTTAATAATCTGATATATCATTACTTGTTAGTTAGAATCTACAATTTGAATTGCTTATTTTATAAACCAACATTTTTTTGTGTCTCAAATTAAAACTCAGATAATTAAAGGAATTAATTCATACCCTTCAATGCACTGATATTTGCAGCGATTCATTTTATCAACTGTGTAATTTCCGAATATGTTATCAAGGCGCTTCACGAGTTTTAGGATTTCAGAAGGCGGCTGAACATCCCAAACCTTCAAAACCTGAATTTGGTATGAAGTCTCCTTGTGAATTTCAACTGCCCAGAGCAGAATCAGATTGCTGTTTGTTGGATAATGCTCCAATAGTTGGGAAGATGTTCCATCAAGTGAGACAACATTTCTTTCGTCTTCTGATTTGCGCCAGCCACTCAATAGCCTTTTTAGCAAGTTAGAAAGTTCCTTAATGGTCTTGGGATCTTTGATCTTTGCAATAGATTTCCGGAAATTGTTGCTGAACCAAATCTATTTTATATTTAAAACGTACTAGCCTTATAGAGAAATTTCATAAATAATCATATTAAAGAAATAAAAAATGAAAAGGATCCTACCATCCATCTAGCTTCCTTGAGATTTAGAGAGTTCATATTTAGTATCATATCAACTTGATCGATTTCAACTAAGACAGCAATAATTGCCTCAGACAAGCTTTTATCTTCATCGGCATTATGCAGACATTCGCGCTGTCTGACATTGTTTATATGTTTCTGCCAGACAGAACCGCTGTTACTTAGGGTTGCCTCATTCCCTAATATCCACATACACTACCTGTAAATACATCATACCTTTCGGTTTCAGTGACAAAGAAACGGAAAACGAAATATGTTGAATCTGAATTATTATTTTCTTTTGGGTATAATGCCTTGCACGAGTTAGAGCCACATTCGCCCTCTGATTATTCGAAAGGAAACCAATTGATCCAATGCCGTTACATCTCACAGTTGATATGATTATAACGTCCTCCTCACCACCTTGGAATCCATCAACAGAACGAACATTTACTGTGAATCCACTCTCTTTGTTTGGAACATATTTGTCTCCAATTCTCTCCTTGATCGCGTAAACTTGAGCCTTGTAAGGCGAAACAATGCCTATACTGATTTTATCTCTCTTCTGCCTAAACTCTGAATTGGACAAGGGTAACACTCTAAGCCAAGCCAGTTATATAAACTTGGTTACTTCTTTTGCAAGAAATAGCAATGAACGCTAAAACAATTAAAAATTGAATATCTTTGAAAAGGTTCTCAACAATCTGAGATGCCACAGCAACTTCAACCATGCTTTTGCGGCTATGTCCTGCATCGAATTGTTCTTTTCCACGAGCTATGTTGATAAATGAGTATGAGCTATACATATTTCCATCAAGAAGTTTCTTCTTGTAACTTCTTTGCTGTACATCAGGAGCATCACGAATTTGCCCATTATAGAACTCTTTGTTCGGAAAAAGACTTATCGAAGGATGCATTCGGTACTGGATATTTAGCAGATGTTTCCGATATCCTAATAAACCAACCTCTGAAACAAGCTTCTTCCAAATTCAGCATTCTCAGAAATCTCACCCATACACACCTAGACCAGTCAGACAAATAAAATTACCCAAATATTAGAACAATAGAAAAATGGTAATGCTATCTCATTACCGGACTTTGCACCATTGCAGGCAGTTGAAGCTCATCACCTATAAGAATCGCGTGGTGTAAACCTGGACGTTGTGAAGGAATGACAGATTCACATTCTTTAAGCTGAGCTGCTTCATCAATAACCAACAATTCTAGCAGAGCCATTTCTTTGGTCTGCAACTTAGCAGATCTTGATGCAGTACAAAAAACCAATGTTGCATTTGCTAAGCAGAAGTCTTTTATCAAATATTTCTCAATGAAATCTGGAACTGCAAATTTTAGAGGCAGCAATTTTAGGATTTTCCAGAAGTTTTTTATTGCACGACTAAATCTAATGCTGAGAGATGTTGTCTTTCCATCATGAATATCTCTACGGACTTGCTGTAGCCCGCCATCACTAAGAGTACATCTGTGCAAAACTTTCTCAAGATACTTGAGCCGATTGAGAGTTTTTGTCATGTTTACTACGATATTTTTTGAAATGATAGAAGTCAGTAAACGTGTATACAAATTGACAATGCAAAACTTGAGCCGCTCAGAATAACATTTGAATCTTTTCTTTAGAAACTCCTCAAATGTGAGAGGATCATCACATTGTTTTTCTTCTGATTTTTTTTCACCAGACACTTTGTTTTTTCTCTCTTGATTTCCCTTCAAGGGACTTCAAGATAACTTGATACCACACTTTTCTGTTATGCTCCATTTTTTGATCTCACCCATTTCTTCATTCTCATGAATTCCAGGATAATTTTCTTCTTCCTCATTGTCGTTCAATACCTCTCATATTGCTCTTCGGGGTCCTTGAGCAAAGATAACATGGACAATAAAGTAGCATTCCAACCATAGGATGGTGTGAAACAACAGTAAAGCATTTCAACACCCCCAATCAAGAAAGACATCAAGAAGATCATCGCGTTCATCAATTTTCAATCGTTTCCCATTTCCAAACAAAACAATATCTCCAAGTCCATAAGTGTCATATTCAAGCCTCTCCAAAACTAATCCCATGAGTCGCGTTGTCACTTCCAGGACAGCAGTGTTGGTGGGCGCACATGTGAGAGTTCTGCATTTTAGTTTAAGAAGGGCAAACACGAGCAATCCCACTGTCTTTGTCTTGCCAGTCCCTGGAGGTGGAGGTCCCCAAATCAATTTCACAGTGTTATCATGGTGACACTCCCTTGTTCTGATACAAATTAAAATTGCAGCTTCCTGGGAATCATTTAACTCGAAAGATCGAATCAAACTCAAGATATTTGAAACTCCAGGACTGTCAATCTGTTCAGATAAACAGGCAGCACAGCCTGGTTTACTCCCCTGCAGTAATGGAACATAGAAATGACTAGCTATAAATTAAAAAGAATCACAATTTGGAATAATTAATTCATTCGAACTAAAAAGGTAGTTTTACCACTTAATAAGACATTGGTTGATACACATTCTTGATTATTTTCAAGTCTGTCCCTTCAAGTTCTGGGCTCAATGCATTCCATATTCGAAGACTCGTTGTTGTCATGTTAATGAGATAAACTCCAAAAAGCATTTCTCTCTTCTTCAAAATTAATCTATTATCTTCTCGAAATAAGAAATTACTATTAGTTTCCAGGCTATCTTTGTTCACAATAGGCTTCGATGAGCGTACAAAAGAATCTATCAGGCTCATCTTTGTCTACCCCATAAACATAAACAATGAGATAAGGTCTGTTTGGCCTATTGAGATCATCAATACATTTTGGCCTTACTTCTGTCAAGGCAATAAGATCTCCCACCTCTGGCTGATACTTGTCTACATTATTACTTTTAACTATAATTGTATAGAACCAAAGCTTAAGAGATTTACGACCAATAGATTTTTCAACGCTCAGTATTTTACAGGTTGGTGTTGTTTGAGAAATTGATTTCAAGCTTGATGACAAATCAGAATGTATTTCTTCAATGAGAGGGGGAATGAACGAATCCAGGTAACTCCAAACTGATTCAAAAGTATCCGGAATCTTACCGATCTGGTGTATACATAGATACATATATATATAATTTTGAGAGACATCAAGTTAGAAATGCTGAAGTTTATAAAAAGTAATTAACACTCCTTTGCATAAGAAGTTTCAAAATCATTAGCAGAGATACATTTTCATTTAGCAATAATAAATAAACATCAATCAATCATAGTACAATAAAAGGTAATACTCAAATAAGAAGACATGAGAGCATTAACTCAAATACATTTGAGAGAGAGCGGGTAACTATTTTCTTTGGGTCGTTTTTGGGATATCTGATTTTTATCAAAATTTATCAATTTTTATTAGGTTAATCAATCATATATTCATATATATATATGTATAGTTTGTATAAGCGGAGAGAAGAGATATAAAGGGATGAAGCAGAACCTTGTCTTTGTAAAGATTTGTGTTGAGAACATCTAAGAAAACACCATATCGAGTAACTTTCTGCTCTTGATCTTCTTCTTCTTCGCCTTCTTAACAGATGTCATCTCCATTTTCCTTTACCCTTTTCTTCTTCCTTCCAGCTTTTTCCAATCACAGTTAATATATATATATATATATATATATAATGTTTGAATTTTTAAAGGCGGGAATTAATTCATTTTGGGAAACCAAAGCAATTAAATCTGTTCCTAGGGAGAATCAAAAGTTTCTCTCCCGCCGAATTAATTGTTATTATTCGTCTTCATTAATTAACATAAATGCAATCCAATGCAATCCAATCCAATTTTGGTATATTCTTGAAAATTTAGTTAATGTAATTTTTTTGGTTATCTGGGTAAAAATCTTCATGAACTGTTTGGGATTATAAAAAGAAAAAGGGTTAAAAATTATTTAACTTAAACAAATTTTATTAGAAAACAAATAAGTATATACATCTAGATAGAGGTTATTGGTAAAATCTTCATAAATCTTAAGATTTCAGAGAATCAGAGATCCCAAGTTAGAAAATTGAGGATATAATCTTCCCTCTCTCTGCTTCAATCCCCCAGCTTTACTTCCCTTCTTATTGAATGTGGAATATCTTCTGGCAAGAAAATATAATCAACTTAGGTGATACCATTATTATCAAAACTAGTAAGGTATGATAAAATTTTCACAAATCTTAAGATTTGTACACTTTCCCTCTCTGTAATTTGATTTTACTCTAGTTCAAAACCTAATTTTCGCCAGCCACTCCAAAGCAATTCTTTGTATGCATCCATCCTTCATCCTCACCGGAAGCGAACCTATTTTTGAAATTTCCTGCAGATTATCCTGAAAAATAATGTCACGAATCATAATAAAAAACTATTTACATCATTACTGTATTTGTTTCCTAATTTCACCAAGCGCACTTAGGTGATCCCTCGTTGAACTCTGTAGTGCAAAAAGTAAAAATTTGACTGAATTTTTAATTAGATGATTGTTTTTGAAATTGAAGAAACTAATCTATTTAAACTTGACCCACTAAAGACTCAGTTGGACCCGAAAGTAAAATGACTCTGATTCAGAATCTAATAATTATTTTATTATTGAATCGAATCAAAACATAATATTCAAATAGTGAATAATAAAATTCTAATATAGGTAGTTTTTATATAATCAAGAAACAAATCAAATAGTATCTAATTTAAGCTTTTGAGAACATATTATCTTACAGATTTACTTGATTGAACATCAAAGTAAACTTTTCTATTTTAAATTTTAAAGTAAAAATAGCAAAGACCTCAAAAATTGGGAAGACACTCAAGACTATTATATGTGTGCATAGTTCTGACCATAATCACAGTTTACAGTTCACAATTTTATACATGTACATAATCTCTAGAAATGACTATGGATCCTTGAGTCTGTAGGAATTATCTTAAAATATTTTATCAGAATTCTCAGTTAATATTATTGTTTAACCACTCGTGAGTTGATCTTGATGTTATGTTCTCGTATCTTAAGCTAAAAGATCTAAATGATTTTAGCACCATACCAACTTGAATGATTTCAACCAAGGTAGCAGTAATTGCCTTAGACAAGCTTTTATCTTCATCAGCATTATGCCTATATCCGCACAGCCTGGCATCTTTTATCAGTTTCTACCAGACTGAGAGACATTATTACTTACAATTGCCTCATTCCCTAATATCCACATACAGTACCTGTAAGCATATCATAACTTTCAGTTTGAGTGACAAAAAAACGGAAAGCGAAATATGTTGAATCTGAATTACTATCTTATGTTTAGTATGATACCTTATACAAGTTAGAGCCACATTTGCCCTTTGATTATACAAAAGAAAACCAACTGATCTAGTTCCGTTGGATCTCACAGTTGATATGATTAACACATCCTCATCGTTACCTTGAAATCCATCAACAGAACGATCATTTACCGTGAATCCACTTTCTTCTTTTGAAACGTATTTGTCTCAAATTCTCTTATGGATTGTGTAAACTTGAGCCTTGTCTTGGCAATCCCTGGAGGTCCCCAAATCAATTTCACAGTTTTCTCATGGTGACACTCCCTTGTTGCAATACAACTTGAAGTTGCAGTTTCCTAGGAATTATTTAAATTGAAAGAACGAATCATGCTCAAGATATTTGAAACTCGAGGAGGTTCAATCTATTCAGATAAACGGGCCGCACAACCTAATTTACTCCCTTGCAATAATAAGACATAAAAATTACTAGCTATAAATTGGAAATGAATGAAAATTTAGAGCAATTAATCCATTTGAATTGAAAAAGTACTTTTACCACTTACACTAGTTGACACATTTTTTATTATATTCAAGTTTGTCCACTTGAGCTTCGGATCTATTGCTTTTCATATTCGAACACTCGTTGTAATGTTAATGAGATAAACTCATAAAAACATTTGTCTCTGATTCATGGTTTTTATTTGGAGTGATTAATTCATTTTAACTTAAAAAATACTTTTACCACTTACATAAGACACTGGTTGACATGCATTCTTGATTATATTCAAGTTTGACTGCATGTGCTTCGGGTCTATTGCTTTTCATATTCGAACACTCGTGGTCATGTTAATGAGATAAACTCAAGTGAGGGCATTAGGATGGTTGAAGATTGGTTCGGTCTAGAAGGTTGGTTTTTGAAGGGTTAAAATGCTGGCCCGCCCGTTCATTATCTCAAAAAAAAAATGTTAATGAGATAAACTCAGAAAAACATTTCTCTGATTCATGGTTTTCCTATTATCTTCTCTAAGTAACAAATTCTTACCAGTTCCTATGCCATCCTCGTTCGCAATAGGCTTCGACGAGAGGATAAAGAAGCTATCAAACTTACATTTGTCTACCCGATAAACATGAGCAATGAGATAAGGTCTGCTTGGCTCGTTGAGATCATCAATACATTTTGGCCTTACTCCAGTCAAGGCAATAAGATCTCCTACCTTTGACTGATACTTTTTTGGATTATTACTTTTCACTGTAATAGTATAGAACAAGTTATTGGGAGGCTTATAACCTTCAGATATTTCAATGCTCAAAATTTCAAAAGTGGGAGTTGTCTAAGAAATTGATTCCAAGCTTGATGACAAATCAGAATGTATTTCTTCAATCAGAGGAATAAAGGATTTCAGGTAAGTCCAAACTGATTCAAAAGTCTCAGGAATCTTATCGACCTTTTGTATACGCACATATATGTATATGTATATACATATTGGGAGACAGCAAGTTAAAACTGCTAATACAAAAAGTAATTACCACTCATTTGCATAGAATATTTAGAAGCTTCAAAATTAAAACATAAATAAATTTTTACTTTCTAAAAACTAATAAATAATGCATAAACATCAATCGTAACACAATAAAAAAATAACAGTTAAACAATAAAACACGGAAATATAAAAAAGAACTTATCAACCATTCAGCCAAGTAGTGGTTAATATTAACTCAAATACATTTGAGAGAAATAATGAATAACTATTTTGTTTAGCTCATTTTTTGCATATCTGACTTTGATCAATATTTATCACTTCTTATAAAATTAATCAATCATATAGATATTCAGATATATGTGTCTATAATTTTTATAAGCACAAAGAAAAGATATGGAGGGGTGAAGGAGAACCTAGTCTTTATAAAGATCTCTGTCAAAAACATCTGTAAAAAACTAAGAAAACACCATATCAAGCAAACTTCAGCCCTTAATCTTCTTCTTCTTCTTAACAAATGTCGACTCCATTTTCCATTACCCTTTTCTTCTTGCTTCCAATTTTTTCGAATCACAACTAAAATCAATATATATATATATATATATATATATGCATGTATTGTTTGTGTGGAGACAAAAATAAAATGGGCCAAGAAATGCATATTTCTAAGGTATCCTTCTGGTACCATGGGATACAAGCTACAGGATATCGAGACAAGTAACATTATCATACTCAGAAATGTTATCCTTCATGAGCATATATTTCCCACAGGAACAGAAGTCGGATGAAGACATCAGAAACCTTGACAGGATCAAGGTGTGAGTCCATAACCGCAACAAGAATGTACAACACCCCAAAATTTGAAAGTAGTAGTCAAGAAGATCAAAGGGAAAATTTAGAAGACATTATGGACATGCCCAACCAAGTACAAAAAGAGTGGACATTCATTGGAAAGGTACTCTTTGGCAGGTCCAGGGAGGAACTTTGGAATAAATATTTTCATTATTCATCTTTGGGATTAATAAAGTAAATTAGATAATTATATGAGTTAAAGAAAGCAGCTTATAAACTGGCAGTAAAAATAAAAAATTGAGTCTCATTTTCTACATACAAGAGTTAAGCAGAAGTAAACATAAGTTGAAGAGGCACTTTACCCCAAGAGGCACTTAACATCTACTTAAGCACTTCATGAAGGCATTTAGAAACCACCTATCAAAATATTCCTGCACTAAAATCAACAACTTTTTCAATGACCTTTTTTTTTCAAGAAGAAAAGATGAATTGACTACCATAACTGAAAATTTGAATGCCAAATATATAACCAGAGGCAATATAATTCCATACAAGGATTGCTGGCAATGGATGTTTCAGATTAATCACCAATGCACCATCTTGAACTATTGGAATGGGCAGATTAAATCTGCTGGAAACAAAATTGTCATCTAGGAGATAAAACCCTCTTCTGTCCCCCTCCACCCCTACAACAAGTAAAAGGAAAAAAGAAAGAAAACTAAAGGAAATTTGAAAATTTTCAAAATGCTAGAAGAATTGCGAAGAAATTTTCAAAAAGAAAGAGAACAGTTACTAAAAATGCTTGTACGCGTTCTCTGTTTTACTATAGTTGAAGAAATATGTCTAACATAAATCTATATGATCATTACTTAATGTACCACAACAACTAAATAAAAAGAAAATTATTTAAGAACCTTTCATTTGCATCTTTGACAAATCTCATTGAATAGAGTCCTGCAAAGCAACAAATGGGTAAATTAAGTTCTCACCATTTCCCGTGAAGAGATTGCCTTCCACAAATGTTGCATATTAACTTGAGCAAAACCACATAGCCTACCACATTAGATC